AGAGAGAGAAATCGTTGTGAATGAGAGAAATAAATAAAAAAAATAAATCTGATAATAATTTAATAACGATTTAACAAACAAAATTGAAAAATACTCACTCTAAAATCACATCAAAAATTTTAGGAGAAAAATTTGGTTTTTTAAAAAAGTATTTCCCGCCGTCTTTCTTTGCCCAATTATTAGATAAAGCAATTCTAAAATATGACGATTTCTTAATCAAAATGTGAGAATGAACTAAGAATTTCTTGTCACAAACTTGTATTATTAAATCAGCATCAAAATACTTTAATTCGTTAGTTTTATTATATTCAAATTTTGAAATTTCTTCTTTCTTCATCATCAAATTGTAATTAATTAATTTTGTTAAGGGAAAAAATATTTTTTTAAAAAAAGCAAGGATTACAGCAGAGAAAATTATTTATTTATAAAATGTAGATTTATTTTATCTATCGTATATATTAATATCATATAATGTCTATAACAAGAATTTTTTCTTGCTATTTATAAAAAAAAATTTATTCTATTGTTTATAAATAATAAATAATATATTTTAATCTTTTTTCGTTAATTTAAAATTTTATTCATGAATAAATAAATAAATATGCATGTAAAAATTTTTTTTTATACAATTGCATTGTTTGCTCAACACAGCTTTTCATCTTTTTTTTTGTAAAAAAATTTGCCCCATCACATCAATAATAATTGTTAACAATAATCAACTTTTTGAAGTTAAACCTAAAATCTAGGTTCACCAATCTTTATGATTACTTATTTATTTTTCTTGAATTTTACATTTACAAATCCCTTTATTTGCTATGATATAAATTGGTAATTGTACTTGACTTGTTATATGCAATATGCAAATATTAATTGACTACATACATATTTTTAATGAATAAAATAATCATAGATAACCTTATAATTTTTAAGTTTTCCATTTATAATCAAAGTAAAATAAATAATGAACACGAGGGAAACACAATTATTAAGAACTGGTCATAAACTTGGTCAAGTGATTGATAATCAAACTTGTTGATTTATTATTATTTATATTGTTTATATTATTATTTATATTAATCAATTTAATGTTATTATTTGATGTTTTTATGAAAGAATGATTTTATTTACTATAAACATTTATTATGGCTATGATTATTAATTGCTATATTTGATAAATTAGATTTTTATAATCGTCCATCAATGATTATGATCAATCAACTACTTGTTAATTTAAAAATGAATCTAAACCAGATATTTCATTCCTTCTTGCACACATACACAGACACAATTTAAATTTCTAACAATTTAATTAATCTATTATTTATTGATTTGTTTGTATAAATTTTTTTGATTTTTGTTAATTAAAAATGTTTAAAATTAATTAATGTATATTCAAATTCAATAAGTTAAATGTTTCTTTGTTGAAATTTTGTATATACTAAGGGGGCGAGAAAGAATATGAAAAAATAAAAAGTTAAATAACAAATCACCAAAAGTAAAAAAATCAAAAATGAATCAACAAATCCTAGTTTCTTTATTTTATTCCTTATTGCTAATTTTTTTTTAATTGCTTCCTTGATTACCACTTGCTTCTGCTTCTTTACTCATTTTCTCCATTCACACCATTCATCTTATCTTCCCATATTTCACACTTTCTTCTTATTGCTTAATT